GCAAGTGAAATCGCAGTCAAGAATGACGGGTAAATGATTTATCCTGCCAACCGTTGGCTTGAACACTGGGTTTGCCTTGTCGTAAAGTATTTCAGCCTAGACCATAGAGTGATTTTCACTAGCGAAGTGAGATAAGGCATCACAGCGTAATCTCCTTCTTCTATCTCTGTGGGACTCTTGTTACTCGCTTACCTCGATCTAGTCGCTTTGTTCAGCATTCTGAGTCGCAAGAGGTGTTGCGCCAAAGCCATTGATTTCCATCTGTCATCCCCATTTCTAAAAGATGCTAAGTTACGTCACGCCACATGTATCACACTGTGACCGCTTGCGAGTTCTTGAGTGACTCGAACTAGTTGGAACCATTCTAACTTCTCCTCCGAAACTTCATGTATTCAGGTGGGTTGCTATTGTCTCCTCCTTGACTTTAGGTTTGTCTTTGCTCCACCCGGTGCTGCTTGTGTATAAAGCCATACTATTGTAGTTTATTGAAAGCTTTCTAGGCTTTCTGAGATACAGATCCCGAAGCCCTTTTTCTCGATCCACCAAATCAGATGGGGTGCTTCAAGCTTGTTGACCATTGCTATTTTTCTTCATTCTTACATTTGGCCTGGCCACGAGTCACTCTTCCTCTTGCTTCTGGTGAATCTTGAGTACACTGTATCTATAAAAATTTTTGTTTCGGGCTCTGTTCCTTTGCAACTGCATTTAAACTGGTGACGCAACTCGTTACCTGCTTCACAGATTTAAGATGTGAAGTATTTCTCCGACACACCACTGGATCCCACAGTTAGCTCGCTACCGCTGACAGTGGCTCATTTGCTCGCTTCTCTTGGTATTTGTATCAGATCCAATGTTCGTATCCTCAAGAACGGTACCCTGTGAACTGGTTAGGCTTGTGTGACTTTAAATCTAGCTACCTATAAAATGTGGTTCCATTAGTCTACCGGTTAATGGCGGTGTTTACTTTTAGATCTACTATACGTCCATTGTGTGTGTTCGGATCCCCCTCTACCTACATTAAAAGATTGACCGTGTTCGCATAGTGACGTTTACGGAGCAATTCTCATAATTGACTTGTGCACGGAATGCTTTAAGCTGCAGTCCACTGGCTTTGTGTTCGACAGCAATCTCTATAGCGCTCCATTTGAATCATTTGCTTGTCCTCGTCATTCATGTGCCTTTGCTTTCCGAGACAGCTTGGCCAGTTGGTAAATTGGTGTATGATTAACCAGTAATCGCTCTAAACACTGAGCTTCGTTAGCGCATTTCATTTTCCTTAGCGAGGCTTCGCCATCAGCCATGTACTTGATGGGCACCTTACGGGATTTCGCAGATGCGACGTCCGTGACATTCTCGCGCTCAGCTTTTGTTCTTCAACTCTTTCCTTCGACCATGCCATCGTTTTCGTTCTTTTCTCTCGATTCTTTTCCATCGTCTTCCCTCTCTTTACTACTGCTATTGTTATTGTTATTAGCTTACAGGATCAGATCAAGTCAACCGAATCCATCTCACTTTACTGCGTAGGTCATAGTTGCTCAACTGAAGTGAGCTGGTTAGATGGCATTTGTATTGGTTGACCTAACGCTTGTCACTTCCGTTACTTTGGGACTATCGAAGCCTTCTACTCTTCATAGGCGTACCGGCCTTGTAACTAACTTCCTTATTTGTCTCACATCTGATAAGCGCCATACTCATCGCCACCAAATGGGTACTGCTTCGCCCGTTCAATAGTATATCTGAATAATCCCCTTTAGTCATTGCGGCGTGCTGAGTATGCATTCGGAACACCCTGCACAATTCTAACCTTGGCACTGTAGTTTCACTAGACATGCTATCATTCACTGCACGTCTGTACACCTGCCAGTTCTTACCAGCATTGATCACAGTTCACTTTGCAGAACCACTAGCGCCAAACTTAGACAGCCCCACAGAGGGGGCCGCGGATCTTGATAGATAAACGTGTCATCGTGATGTAACAAGCACTTTGGATGCTCCACGCGGGCTCCTAATTTTCCAAGCGGTTTTCCGTAACATCCGATTGTAAGCGGTGTTTCGTGCTAACTTAGCTACGGTCCAGTTTAGTGGTTGCCATTTGTTTGTACAGCCACTTAACTGGTCATCAACGCCATTGAATTCCCTCCCATACGTCCACATTTCTCCATGATGTGTGTACGCCTCATTGCTATCTATTGTTTAGGTTATCTACTAGACATCTAGTTCAATAACTAGGCTCCACTCTTTGAGCAACATATATCACAAAATTTGTCCTGTTAGATTGGATCTTGGCGGATTTGGTACTCGCCTTCAAACTGAGCAGCCAAAGTACATGTGCAAAGCGTCAAGAGATCAATCTCTCTTGTGCCCGACCCAAGGCCATCGCTATTCTTCTTTTGCGTAGGCCCAGCGTGATACACCAACACCGTATACGATAAAATTAGGCACAATTCTGCTCAAAGTGGTCGGTGCTTATCGCCATTTTGCTTTCCGTCAAATATTTGCGCACCGTCAAACAGCCGAATGGCCAGCTGTTGGTCGACAGAATTGCTCTGTGTAACCGTTCTCTAGCGGCGAGTTCTTGCAATGTACGTTGACATCCACTAAATTCGCATCATATACAGGCACACGATGCTCATTTTGTTTCCCTTTGTATTTATGTGGCATATGTACGGTAGCCCAGGCTTATTCTCCTTAGGTATATATATATATATATATATATATATATATATATATATATATATATATATATATATATATATATATATATATATGAGTAGGTTTCTCTTGAAACGAGAGCTGCGTCCATGTTTGGCATAGATCATGTATGTACATCATCATCATCATCATTATACATGTCAGCTAGAGATGGTAAAACACCTCCGCTATTGTACCGCAATACATAAAGGAAATACATACATACATGCAATACATAAAGGAGCATGTACACTCATGAACGAGGCCTGGCTATGGGATCTATAGTATCCCTGGTATTTGTAGGGTATATATATATATATATATATATATATATATATATATATATATAATCGGCACTGCGTAACTCGTAGTGATTCGAGAACATGGCGTTGTCACGGTAGGCAATACTTTCAATTTTCGAACGAGATAGCAAACAAACACTACCAGATTTCTCAAACTTTGTTGAGGGTACGATGTAGTTTATTGTGGACCTAAAGCCTTCCGGCGGTACACTCCCGTTCTTTGATTATTTGGTCCATGAAAACGAAGGAACGCTAAAAATAGCTTTATGTCGCAAACCACGAGAACCAGATGAAGTGTTTAGTTATAGTTCAGGCCACTCAAGGCATGTTTATGCAAGAGTCGCCTCAGCACTGTTTCACAGAGCAAGCGCTCTTTGCACAGGAAAAGACGATTAAAAAAGTGAGTCGATGAGATACTCGGTAACTAACTGGTATCTGAGGCAATTCGTGACGTCCTTTGGTCCACGTCCAAGACTAACCACAGAGTGGATATCGAAAGTGTGTATTCGGGGGTGCTAGATAATAAGGCAATCTAAGTAGTTTTCCAAATGGGCTAAAGGCTACGGTCAATGATGCTGGGTTTTGTAGGATTCTTTTCCTTCGGATTGAACAACTAGCTGTATTTGCAAAATCTCTTGCAAAGCTCGCGCGTATGTGCATATAGGGGCAACGTCGAGAGAAATACGCACGAGAAGTTCGGAATATAGGCGACGCATGGCGCGGCCGCCGATGAACAAGATCGAATATATGGTTGTGTTAAGAGATATTGTCGTAGCGTTGCACGTACTTAACACGTAGCATGACATCGACTTCGAAAATATCGGAATCATCAAGATGGGATTTGCGATCCACTCCACAAAGACGAACAGCTGCTTGAATAGATGGTTGCCGCAGTTGAACTGTTCAAGCAGCCGATGTTCCTAAACTGCCCACAGAGGTAGAGAATTAATCGCATTTGTACTGTTGACATTCGTCCACAGATATTGAAGTCCGTTGGACTTCGCCGATCTCAGATATGCATAATTTCAATTCTCATGCTCCGGTGGCTTGGATACGTGTTTGCATGCCCGACCAGTGTTGCTCTCGCCGCTTCGTTTTTACACATGGGTTCTTCGCTGTTTAAAGTTTTTTAACCGTTTTCGTATCGAAATTACTTTGTAAGAGCTGACGACATCGTTTCTCATTGCCATAAACGTAGTACTGATTTATGTCGGTCTCATCTTCCTTATTTGGACGCCTACGACCCTCGGCTGTGTTCTATCCCACTGATAACTGGCCAAAGGGTATGATCGATTAACGAATCAACTCCGCATACGAAGGTGTTTCGGTGTTGCTCCTCCGAACACTGACACTGTGTAACCGATTTCGTCCTCATATGCACTCATCAGATGGAGATAGCCTAAGCTGGGGTGGAACTCGAGGCCTAGTGGTTAACGGCTAACGCCTTATTCACTGTGCCGCTAAGGTCAGTGAGCAACGCTTGGCACAGCAGTATGAAATACAAAGTTGGACTTAGAGAACCCACTTTGTGATAGGATTGCGACACACAATCTCTATTCAGACCTCAGTTCACTTCGAAGTGGACCTCTGTCATTCCGATCAGAAAGACCGTATCCGAATTGGAAGTGGTTCGGTGTTTCTGCTCCCAGCAGTGACACCTCAGCACACAATTTACTTCATGCTTGTTACTACATTTTTCCACACTGGTGTCCACATTTTAAGTCCTTTTGACGCAAATCAATGCTGACCTCTCTCTCTTATTTGTTCGACACACCTCAGTGTCTTCCTGAACACGATGCTGTCTACAACCAGGTCATTAGCGCTGGACATTTGATCCTTTCAATTCGCCTGCAATAATTCACTTTTAATGGCCGATTTGATTACCGTTTACGATTGAGCTTTTCTGTTTCCAACTCCGTACCCCCACCCTAATTGTCCTAGTTTATAATGTAGCTTTTCCATTTTAAGTGTGCATTTTTGTAACCTGTTTGCTGTCACTTGTGTCAGCAAATGAATCTGGAGTTACTTCATTTACTGGCAAACACAATGCGTGATGAGATCCTGGATGCTGTGGGTGGCGGCACCAAGGATGCACTCATCACCAACTGGCTCCCGCAGTGCATCAGTGTGTACAGGTGAGCATGTTTTTGTTGTGTTGTCTCACTCTTATTATCAAATCAATCCACTTGAGTTTTTGCTTACTTTTGTCGTTTTCCTACCTCTTTGCCTTCGCTAGGCGTTGCTGCAACGTTCTGCCCCTAACTGAACTCCCCCCTGAATGTGGCGATATATTTTCCCGACTTGCTCATGACCTTCGACGTCACGCCGTTCGTGGCATATTCCAGCGCGCAAGAAGCCGTGAGTCAAAGTTCCTTACACAATTTTCCCCATTCTTGAATTGTTTACCTAATATAACCTTTCTCGCATCTTGTGACGAACCGCACCGTACGCGACAGTTTCCGATCCTTCTTCACACCACACTTTATCGAAATCTCTTTATGCTCCGACCGCAAGACGATTTCCGAAATTTCGTAGATTCATTTTACAACCAATAAACTGTTCCGAAATTTTTCACTTATCATGGTATTCCTCCTACATGTCTTTCCCACACGTATTGTACTTGTATTCTGCATACCATCCTGTTTAACTCGTAGTCGTGAACTGGGACCTTATGCTATTCTTTGACCGTTTCGCCGAACATTCTTTGGTATATATGTGTGGAAGATTTACATGTTTTCGCAATCCTCTGGATTTTCAATTTATTACCATTTTACTCCACTACGAATACTGCATTTTCTATCCACTTTCAGAACTAAGCCATTCCGACGAATGTTGACGGAATGCTTTGATGTATTACCACCGGAGACACAGCGTTAACCCTTTCATCTTTATGCTTCGTGGGTGTGCTTTGTCTGTCATTGTTTGTAGGGAAGACGTTCCACTCTCTCACTTTGGTACAGAATCGTGACTACGGGTATAATTTATGTCTTCCAGCTTTTGTTTGTTTGTTGCGCTAATTGATGACAGACTGCATTTGACTAGTTAAGGTACTTGTTTTGAAGCTACGGTAAATTTGTTGGGGCATGTAGTACGGCTTACATGACCTCACATTCTACTTATCTTAACGAAATTTGAGTTGTATGAGAACGCGACCTGTGTGGTATCCGTCTGTCATCAACCCATCATCAACAACAGCATCGTCACAATCTGATGCGTTGGATTGATACCGATAACACCTCGGCCTCTGTGCTTAACTACAAAACTAGTTAGGGATTTCTTTGCAGTAAATTCCAAATCAGATCGTCGTCCAAATGCATGCAAAGCACTAGCCTACCGTTTCCACCTGTTGGTGTTCGCATTATAAGCTAGTCAGCATAATCACTAAATTCTGCGCCATATTGTTGTACGCAACTCCGGTGGAACTTATTCCGCATTTCTGACACAGCCTGCGCACACGCCATCCGGCCTGCCGATGTGTCTCCATCTCTTAACCAAGTCGACTTACTGTAATTTCCCCATCCATGGTTGATCTGCACAAAGAAGCCAGGGTATGCTCTTGACTGAGCTATATAAGGTGATTTACCAACTGGAGCCTAGTGCGTATAAGTTCCGCCTCTTTGAAATCACAGGGGCTTTCTGCACCGTAACTGTGCCCGTGGTTGCTCACAGGCTGGCTCCAACACAATGCACGGCCTACACGCACACACACTTTACGTCAGAAGAGTACGACATGTGACTCCTCAGGTTTCCACCTTAACTGTCGTTCTCCTACTCCGATTATATCTATGCGCCCTTTTGTTCAGTTTATGGTCACCGCAACACAACCTTAATGGACTCAGCCTGACGATGTAGTTACCTGAACGCATCCTCATACCGTCTGTTCTTGCACTCTGCGACGGTTGTCGTTGGTCAACTTACATCTTTTTGTCACTTTCAAAATCAATACTGCGTCCAAATCCTGCAGTCAGGCGTTCATGTTCAGGTATTTCCACACTCTGGAAGTTGGTCGCTTGTAGTTAAGGGCGATTCGGTAATGTACCATGACTGTTTTGGTCACTACGAGTCACTGAAAAATCCCATCTTTCTCAGTGCACAGATGGTCATCATTGATGCGATCCACAACATAATCTCTGCATTTGTTGTCATTACTTTAAGATGCCACCTATTATCTTACACTTTTCATGCCATCCTGTAATCACAAAATAATTATCAATTTTTGGTTCGAATTAATTGTCATTTCTATACGCAAGGTTACATCTAGATACATGGGTCACACTTTCTGCAAGTTTTTACTCGACCCATTGATACTGATGATCGGTTTCTCACGCACCGATGCCTAGTTACTTTCATCTACACACCGTAACATCGAATGTGTTAGTCGATTGCATGCTCCTCGGTCACATATAGTGCGACCGCATCACCATCTACAGCTTGTTACTCCTCATCACACTGTCGAATTTCCTCTGCTATACTGGGGCTCATTAGGTTACTCTGATCCATCACACTTTATTGTGAACTCTATGTTGTGTCGTCACGAGACTCGTGCTTAAGCTGTTGGTTTCTGTTAGGACAATCTGCTTCACCTCCGTAGTCTCTGGCTCTTTTTTCCTTCTAAGTGACATTGCGTATATATGTTGCAATAAATCTACTGTTAATCTACCGAAGCCGTTTCCTTTGATCCTGTACTTTCACCTCGATACTGTATTTTATTCTCGACCACACTTATGTCTTACTCGGTCTCCTAGGGTTCATCCGAGTGTACACTAATCCGACAGTGTACATCGTACCCCTTTATGTTGTCTCAGTGACTTGCATTGCCCTCACTTGTATGATGTGTTCCCCTCAATTTTCACCACTGTATATTCCGCATGTGTGTGTGCACCCTTTTCCCTCGTTTCTTGTGTACCCTTAGCAATATCGGTTCCTCGTTTCACCGCTTTCATTCCAGTGATAGAGGTCTTGCAACTGCGGGAGTCATGGGACGTGAATCTTTCCGATTCGGATGGCGGAGTCACTAAGTTGGTAAGCTTGGACAGGTGACGTTGCTGTACGTTTTCGACTGAAGTAGCGTACTCTAGTGGCGCCGCATTGGCCCATCGTAGTGGTGACGTTTGCTTGCTTAAGCATCGTCGCAATCCTTGTTTCATACTCAATGCTCCATTCATGTTCTCGCACATTTTGTACCGTTAAGCTACGACTGTGGATGGAAATTGGAGATGGAACGCAAATCTGCACAAAAGACCCGCCAGAAGGAGAGGTTTACAGCTAGGAGCTAAGTGTATATTCGCCAATGGCTTCACACTGCTACGTTGTCTGAATGTGTTCTTATCTACAGCCCGTCGTTAGCCTCCTCTCATCCGTACTTTTGATATGCGTCGATCTGGGGAAGCCTTTCAATCACTATATTCATACCTGGTTGCCATGATATCGACTGGGGTCACGGTGAACATGCACAGCACTGTCAAACACCAACCTCTACAGTCATTTGGATGACATATCTTTGCTAGGTTTGGCGATTCTCGTCCAGCAGCTTGTCCAGCTAGGGTCCAAGAAACCTATTGTTTAACGCTAAGCGATGGTCACCTGTGCTACTTACTTGCTAGTCGCGCTGAATATGCCCAGCACCACACTAGCATCGGTGTTCAAGCAAAATTAATGGTTACACACCTACCTTGCTATCTGAGGACCATACAATGCTCGTAGTCTTCCCAATTCTTCAGGGCAAATATACCCTTCCTTTGGTATGAAGTATAAGTCCATTTTATCTATTTCTGAAGACAGCACATGTTGGCTCAATCTGTTCTAAGACATTCCACTATTCTAGCATTCCATTTATTAGTGCATTGTTTTCGCCTACCCAGGAATTAGTCCTTGATAGCATATTACTGTGTTTAGCTCACCCGTTCTCTACTTCGTCACGACTTGCTTTACCTACACATCAACCAGCCTTTGTATCTTTTGATTAACAAATTTGTTACTCTCCCCCCTATACTCTACTCATTGGACTCATCGTATACTACCCAGTTATCTGAGCTTGGCTTCGCGGACGCAACTTTAAACCATCAGTTCGACAGTCTACTGGCTCGTTGCTATTGGTACAGCTCAGATGGAAACCAGTTCAGATCTGTTTGTCAGCTGTGCTCCAGTCACCTTCACGCACGCATTTGTGGCCGTAGGATTTCCGATAGTGTCTTGCAACCGATATGCGCGATCCCCAGGACCCATCCAGGCAGACAGTACCCACCGACCCGATTGAGCCCTACAGTTGGGTTCTTCACACTCTTCTGCCATATTATTGACTCCACCTCAGCGTCACACCCGTCTAGCCGCAGTATTAGCAAGCGATAGGCGCTGAGGCAGTCAGTTGGCTCGCATGCGAAGCACATGTCCTGGTCAGGGGATTTTCTTCAGGCCAAACATATATGTCATTGAGACATCAGGGGGCTTGTTGCCAAACACCCGATGAAGCGCTTCGGTCTTGCCTAACATGAACGATACTGCGCAGGTATCAGCACTCAAACACGGTTCGTCTCTCTATATGTCCTCATCACACAGCGGTCTGTTATCTAATTCATACGGTAAGACTGATCGTACAACAGCGCTGTACAACCCTCCCTTGATCCATAAGCTTACACGCCGCTGTTTTCACCAATGGCGGTCTGTGAAATACCACAGCTACCTTAGAAATACGCACAGCAATCCCTTTGGTGGCTGTGTGGTTCAGCTATCTGGATAAGTTATTCTATTGACCAACACGTTCCGTTGCTCGGGCGTGATAAAAACTGGTGGTCACTCGGCCCAGTTCTACAACAACACTTTACAATTTGAAGGCGCAAACATATATTAAAGTATGCTGTGCTTGCTTTGCATTTAGACCAGGCTCAAAATGAGCCTTACTATCGATTCCTTCTAGACTTGGCAGTGGGCCACCTAACAGAAACTCTACTCCATGAGGAGTGGAATGAGACAGGAGTGAAGTGGCATGCAGAAATAGTACGGTCTTGACGCACTCCCCTCGTTGTCGTGATCTCAGCGAAGAGATTTCCGTAAACTCTTACTCTACTCCTTGTGTCGCAGTATACATATGTTGGAATACATAAAACTTCTCAGGCGCGCTGTTCAAAACCAATCCTCCCCATAAACAGGTGCGACCAGCAGAATTAAAGCAGTCTTCGACTCAGGGAATGCTACTGTTAGGCTCCTTGTAAGTATGACCATGTTTAAACACCTGTCGAAGAATGAAGACGTGGCCTATGTACTCTGCCCGAGCTGAAGGCCGTCTGACTTCCACTAGTCCGTCCTTCGTAGCGATCAGCGAGTCACTGCAACATGATTGAGGTCAGTAGTTTGGGGGTTATTGAGATCATATTGATACCACGATGATTTTCAAAGTCAATCCCTTTTATCTTTTAGCAACTGTGAATGACTGTTGATAACCACCAGTTAGCGCGCACCGACTAGTACCGATCAGTGGAGCTAAAGCTGCCACCAGGGAGTCGTTACCGTCCTCCAGTAACGATGGTGATGGGTCGTCTAGAACAGGCACCTTGTTCCGTTTCAGTAGAGATTGCTCATGTTGAATGTCCTTGATAACGGGAGTAGCCACACCAATCTTTCACATGGGTTCAGGTATCCCCGTTTAATCCTGATAGACTGCTGCCTCTCAGACTCTTCGGTCCTGCATTCTTCTTCACGTGACTGATCGGGAATCTGCTGTGCATATGTGTTCACTTATTATTTCATTCATAGGTGTCTTTCTTGATGACACGCGTCGAACCAATTCGAACAGCGCTGGTGTTTCCATTGGCACTGAATTTCGCCATTCATCAACGGTTTTAGTCAGGTAACATATCAGTGATATGAAGACTTCTCAATCGAAACCCCGATAGAACTATCTTTCGTGCATCAATTAAACTACTCAATCCTCCGGAAATTAATCCAGTGTTAAAATGCCTGATGCGGATTAAATGTCTGATCTTAAAGGCCGTTTGCGCGCCCAGCAGCAGTTAAAGTGAAATTCACTCTCATACTGCTGAACGGCCTTTTGCGCGCGCACTTGATGATCTAGGAGTTCACTGAAGCATTCTTACAAGGTAGGGTTCACTTAGAATATTATTTGGTAAATTTCCTCCGGAGACCTTCAAATTCAATCGTCTGACCCACCATGCAGTGGGAAACACGTCCAGCTCGGAGGTCTGACTGCGTAGCCCCATTCGGAATATACCTTAAACTAGCTACACAGCCCTAGGGAGTTCAGTATCGATTGTACATACTTTTCGACAGCCGCAATTTATACACTTGCGACCACGGTCAACTACTCTTGAGTTTTGGGACTTTCCACCTCACAGACCAGGGACTGGCTGGATTGAGACGGACGGTAGCAAATTGTCGAGCACCGGTAGTGCCATCTCATCATCAGAGTAAGCTGTGGCGTTTCATATCCTATACTATTCGATCTGTTATAACTCCTAGCCCGATGTCACTCATGGCTGGGATTCGAGGAAATTATGCCCTCGGTTTCTCTCAACCTCTGATGGAGAGGATGCCGAAATCAAACTCGTTCGGTCCATATCCACTGGCCTGCCTTGTGTAAGTGCCTCTGAAAACACTTGGATAGTACCGCCCAACGTTGAACTCGCAAACCATCGCACCACGTTCAAATCCAGTCTTGTGACGGAAACCGCTTTCCCCGCCCCAGCTAGCATTCGTTTGCCTCCGTTTGCACAACGCTTCTCTATCATCCTTTAGCTCATCTGCACGTTGAGCCAGCTAGTCACTTCTTTCAGCCTCGTCAGCTCAGCCTTCCCAGACTGCGAAAACTGTCTGACCCGTATACCAGTCGACCTATCACACGAAACTCAGCTTGACCATTTAGCTCACAAGACAACTTAGCTGTTTATTCTGAACTGTAATGCCCTCTGTTTACTCCTACAGTTGTCTTCCGTTTCACTGTCACTTTTGTCCATTAATCTTGTCATCGTTTTCTTCCTACTAACCTCTCCAGCCCGGTCTGTACGAAGAAACGATGATCGAGGCTCTGGATCGCTGTCGTGACCTGGTGTCGCCTCAGACGGCGGTGGAGAAGCCGGTAAGCTAATCTTTGCTTTCGTGGATACTGTAACCCATGTGTGCGTACAAGAACCGCACCCCTGTTTGTCTCGGTCGAGGACGTTCACGCTCCGTTCCGTTGATCTTTCGCCTCAGCAGAGCCACGATCCAGCACAGGTGATTCGTGTCATTTGCCTCGTCCTTGATCTCTTCAGGTAGTACAATCAGGTTTCTACTAGAAAGACATCAGCAGTGCACCGCACTGACGCTTAGCTGCTACGCCAGTTATAAGCCAGTTACAAGCCGGCTATGGATACTACGAGGTCGCCGAGCATCTACACGAATCCGAAGCGGCAGCTTTTGAACCACAAGGCGGACATCTCATACGAATCGGCCACCGTCCGACTTCTCGTACCCCTTCGACTGATCCGAATAAATAACTGAAATTTAATCTGCATCTTCACCGGTCCAGCCAACCCAAATCGTTACTTCAGTGGCTTTCGCCACTTACCATCTGGTACGAGTCGTCCGATCGCATCAGTTTTGTCTGCAATGTGACCCCAACAAGCATGGTTGGCGGCATCCGGTTTCGGATTTGCCTGTCACTGTGGCCAGACACAGGACGCCTGCGCCTACAGGGGGACCATGGACTGTTTAATACCGGTATGCCCTAGTGAGCATTGGTCCACAGTATCTGCACATGTTTTTTTCTTGTGCCCTATTTTCCCTCATTTGAGTCTGATCGAGCTTCCTTTCCACTACTCCCTGATTAGATTCCGGTGACCAATAGACAGTAGTTTGGTAATCGAAGATTTTGCTTTTGTTACGGAATTCTCTCTCGTTTGTTTTCATATTTGGTCTGTTTTCTTGCGTACTCTTTATTGGCATTGATTCTGTTTTCCTATTATCTTCTCATCGTCAATTCTGTCATCTGCATCGCCCGAAAACAAACATTTTTGGCCGTCTGATCTTCTGAGTATCCGGAGCTCAGTTACAAGAGCCACACTTCTAGCGTTTTGTTCTCTGCAACCAGATCCAATAGTCATCTTCAAGCGGACTGATCTTTCAACTATATCCAAGAACTCGCGCAGGACCTGTCTGCTGCTGGTTTAAAGTTACATCGTTTTGGGAGTGATGGAGTTAGGTTCCATTTTTTCCGTCGCCATATCCCCTTTGAGTCCTTGCTACTGAACCAGTTTATTCTTCTCTTTAAGTTGTTCACCGGTATCGCTGATTTGTGGGGTTTTGGGGCGCGCATTACGCCGAATTTGCTTTAATCTGTTCCATATTCGTACTCACTGTCACGATGACCAATCCGCCTATTTCAATACTTTTTGGGCAGTTATTCGAGTCCGCCGAATTGCGCGAACGCTTCCCCGACTGGTGCGGTGATGCAATGGTCGCGCTCATTTCCACATTCCGGAGGTTGGCCGATCGGATTGAGTGAGTTACATTGGCCGTTGGTTGACGTTGGCCCGCATTGTTCGTGAAACACAACTGCCTCCCCACACACCCCCCAGTCCCGTCACGTCGTATTTTGAGCTCCCTGGCATGTGTGTTGGGTTTCACTTCCCCTCTAATCGATCAGATGTACTTCCGAGTGATTTATGGTTTGCATTACTTATCAGATGGTTGCCAGCTTCCCTTTCATATGTGTCCGTGGCTACCAAAAAGTCATCCATTACGCCAGAGCAATAGTTGACACACTTTTTATCCATAATTCCTGGCGAATGAGTCTTGTGTCAATTGCCGATCGCCACGCCTGACGTTTTCTCGGTCGCAGAGGAAAGTGTACCCAATTGACAGTAGGGAGAATCTCTCCCATTTTCAGGTACTCGCTACCGAGACCTTTCATTTCACTTATACTCGCTAGAACCGCGTTCACGTGTGCTAGTTCAGTAACGGTGAGAAAAACGGTTTCCAATACTAGGACAGCGGGAACCATGAATGTGTCATTCCGTTGACATTCTCCATTATTGCTGTACTTTTCGCGTCGCCGGTGAAACCCGCTGTTTTTGTTGACGGAACCACTTAGCCACTCTTTAGTACTGGGCCCTACGAAGCGGCCACGATAAGATATGTGGCAGCACCAGTGATTATTTGAGTTCATTTCTCGAAAGCCGTCCCCCTCAATTTTATCTGATCAATTGGTGCTTCGAAGCTCGGCATGTGTCGTTTTTTATCAATCTTCACTTTAGTCAGTCTAGCAAGGCCTTAATGCAACGCACACGCTTTCAGTAAGGAAGCATGACATAGAGGCAAACCAAAAAGGTGAATTTATAAATGGCAGATATAACACATTTCTGGCTTAAATTACCTAGTTAATTCTAGATGGACTTTGTTAATGTCCAGCAACTTCGTGCTAGAGAGGGAATAACTGACGTACTACAAGCTCACATTCGGGCATAAATGGACTTTTACATTTCTGTTTGGTTGATGAGGTCGACACGCATTCCAATAATGTGCAATGAAGGGGATATCTTATCTCGGTAAATATCGTTGACACTTGCTTCTTGCATGAACTAACACAAGTATATCATCAAAAGTCAACTTTCACGCATCTGCACAGGGACAAGAGTTTTAACGACTTGGCGATTGATCTGAAGTGCTTAGTTGGCAGGCCGTGAAAAATCACGGTACTATAGTACGTCCAGTTTGATAAAACATGTTCGGTGACAAAACGAATTATCAAATCATGCGACAAAGATGGGTCGTTGCGTGAGGTGTAGAGCGATAATCTGACTTTTATGAACATTTCATTCACGTGATATAGCAAAGATAAATCATAGTCGACCGTGACACCGAAGTACTCCACGTATGTGCGCAGGAGTGCAGCCCCTCGTCATCGAGTTTCGGGTGCTGCGTGAGAAGCTCTTGATATCGATCTTCTTTGTATATTGACAAAGACATTAGTGCATTTTGACACCGTATACAATAATTCGAGGATTTTCGACCAAACTGCGAGATCCTTCAGAATATCATTTCATCTGACTGAAGAGGCGGTGATCTATTGATTGCTGTCTCAGACAATCTCATCTGCGTATTTCAGTTGGATCGCCTCCTCGACGCCTGGTATTGAGCTGACGGGAGTGGAAGATAGCAATGCTGACCGAATAGCTCCCTGATGAACACCGGTGTTTGTGCTTAGGGGCGAGGAACATCCGGAAGCCAGGCAACCTGATTGCGACCGGCAAAATTAATCCCCTAACAAAAGGACGATGGAAGAATATATTCCAGCACCGAATAGGTTTTACGATAACAGTTCATCCTTTACACAACGGTTACATTACTGTGGTCCATAACACAGATTTGGATGCATATCTTGGGTTATTTCTAAGTACATGTTGTGTGGATGGATTGCGACACGCAATCTCAATGTTGACCGAGATTCGCATTGAAGTGAACCTTGGTCTTCCGATCACGAGAACCGTAGCTGAAGCAGATAGAAATTGGGTGTTGCTCGCCCGAAAACACTGCACTGCTGCAGTGTGCTTCAAAGTGACCCTTAAAATTCCATCATTTATGCCAAGTGTTGTCCGTCATGACCCGGTGGCTTAAGGGTATCGGTCACAACTAACATCCCAATGGTCCCGGGTTCGATACCTGCTATCTTATCTGATGGGATGAAATGACATCGAAACGCGTCTTGGGAAGGAATGCAATGTTTTCGGGCGAACAACACCCATTTTCCATTCGATTCGGATGCACTTGTTTCGGTTGTTCAGCGATGACAAGACTAGAATATACGAGGCACGCCACTGCGTCTGGGGCTAACCTCGATCTACGGTAGGCAAATTAAAGGGAATCATTTGACCGCTTTTCTCTCAGTATCATCTCAAAATTGATTTCCAAAACCTTTAAGGCTGCTGTAGTACAAGCTATTGATCGGTAGTTGCTTGTTTTCTTCTTTCCTGTTAGTCTATTACTGGCACTTCTCCGTCAGCCAGCAATTCTCTTTTCTTGAGTGCCAGTGTATATAATGTGGCTGGGAGTTTGGCCAATAAGCCAGCGCGTATCTTGAGGACAACGAAAAACACTGTCCGGACCGCGCCCCATCTGCTGAATCGAGCTGAGTGGATAGGGGTAATGATGCTAAAGCCTACTCGTCTTCTTATTCCCCCTCTTGTGCATTTTTACCTTTATTATCCCCTTCCAACTTCACTTTTATCCTTCCTGTTTTCAACACCCTCTCCCATCTTGTTTCACTGGTCACTTATCTACAAGTTTCGACTCACACGCAATCGCAGGATGTCGCTCTAGTCCAGTAGAGTCTCTGAAAGCAACAAACATCGATGGCGATGGACTCTAGAGTGCGCGCCAGGCCAGCCTCTTGTCCAATCTGTAGGGGGGGGGTCTGAACATTGAACGCTGCCAGACGGAATGAAGTACAAGGTTGCAGGATAGCTGATAGCCGGATGATTTGCATATCAGCGAGACAGGCATTGGAAGTAGATTCAACAGGTTATAGATTATCAACAAGAGCAAAGTTGACCTGTGATGGAGAAGTACGTGTAGCAGCAAAGTACGCGACGTAGTAGTAATTGCGAAATCCATGGTTTTCATAGATGGCACGATACTTCTCGGTTGCCCAAGCCGAAGTAGGGAGTTGTCTTACAGGACTCCACCCCGAGCCTTTGGCTCAATAGCCTATCCTCAAGGCAGTGGATCGAAGTCGGGGATTCGCACCCATTGGGAGCCGATGACTGATTGCTCAGTTCATACGCCTTTCATTTGGTGAGTAGCCATACAGGGGCCCAATCTTCCCCACGATTTCAGAAGCAAGTTGCTGGGATGCAATGCTTCACCAAGGTGAAAAAGGGGCATTGACTTTACTTAGTGACGAGTCACATGCGCCACGTCGCAGTGTTATTAAACAGACACGTAGCTTTTTATAGGGAGAACGCTTGCCAAGCGAAAACCCCCCCCCACGTCCTGGAACACTGCCGCCGAAACATTCGCTGAACCGAGATAATCCTAGACCACTCAGCTGGCACCATGAGGTTGTTCCGCAGGCCAGCCGACAAGTACATATTCAACCAAGCGGACAACGTCAGTTCAACCGTGTTCCTTTGGAGTCCTCGATCCTCGCTAAGACTGGCATGCCTCAACGTGCGTACTTTATTACAGATTGGCCAACAAGCAGCACTTACCCTAACACTAGAGATCCTAACGATCAACATCTGCTGCCTATCGGAAACCCGACTTCAAGATGCGAGTTCTCTGATTACCCTACGATTTCCCACGGGCGACACTGGCGGTACATTCTCATTGTGTCTTTCTGGCGATGAAGGAGCTTCAAATACCGGTCAAGTCGACGTGCGCATTGTTTTTGAATTCCCGGGCTGAAGCTGCTCTGATCGATTGGATCCCAGTCAACAATCGGGTGAGCGTCTTCAGATTGCCTATCTCGTTCAAAGCTTCGAAGTCGCATGGAGACAAATGGTGCCTGTTTGTCATTGCGGCCTACGCCCCCTCAAACTGTAGTCCTGATTCGGTGAATGATGATTTCTATCACCAACTTAATGATCTCCTTCGTTACAGAAAAAGTACGGATACTGTGGTGCTTGCTGATGAACTAAATGTCCAAGTCGGAAAATTGTCCTCTGATGAGCTTCATCTGGGTGGCCAACATGGTGTAGGATCCCGTATTGATAACGGTGAGCGGTTGCTACACCTGTGTGAAGATGCTCGTCTCTTTCTTGCGAGCACTAACTTTCGAGACAGCACCCTTAGGAAAGTGACTTGGCACCCACCAGCCTCGGACCAGTCATGGGCCCAAATCGATCACATCGCGATCAGTTACCGATGGTGAGGCTGTATCCAAAATGTCGCTTGATTTGTAACACGGGTGTAGAATCTGACTACACAATCCTTTGTGGCGATCTTTACAGTTCGCTTCGGGGAGCGCATGTGGCGATGCTGTGGGCGCATTGATAAATACCGGCTGGCGAAGCCAGGTTTTGTGAATGCGTATCAAAGAACGCTGGAATCCGAGCTGTGTAGACTCTCCCTGAACACAATAGTGGGCTACTGGTTGCATATTCGTTAGACTTTATTAACAGCAGGCGTATTTTCATGTGGCAAATCAACTTGCCAAATTAGACATCGGTCTCTGTGCCGTCTCTGGAACTTATGGATGCTCGCGGACACATTCCGGCTAGGGGCGAACCCAATGAGACTCGTAAAGATAATAATAAATGACAAATTGTCAGCTCTACGCCGTAACGCCGCTTCGCTGCCGCGCGACCATCACCAGTCGCGCGTTGGCTGAGTATACCGCGAAGACTCCCGCCCCTACGCTGATTAGAAACCGGTGACTTTGTGACTGCAAGTCAGGCGCGCAGACCACTCAGCCACCGGCCGAGCTAGCCTGAAGAGGGACCGGGAAGCCTGGTGATGTCATAGTGCATCCGAGATGGAAATGACCGCTGCCCTTGGCAACC